GTGGTAAGTGTGAGAGGATGTGCCTATAGGGAATGTGTTTTTGGTGTTGGAAAATGTTAACTTCTGATATGATACGTAACCTCTTCCCACATAAAGCTAGAATCCCATGTTTAAGTGATGGAGAGGTCAGTGCAAATTTTTACCTAGATATTATCTGTGGAAGTGCTCGAAGGGAGCCCATGGAGTGTGACATCCTATACCATGGAACAGTATAGGAGCACACCTATGGCAGACCAGACATTATCTGTACCAGAGTATACTCTTCATTTGTAAATAAGAGAAGTGTCACTATGACAGGTGAAAAATACAAGCAAAGTCCCAAAATCTGCATCAGGCTAACATAAGTGATAGATGTGTACTGTGGCTATGATGCATCATACTTGGTGGGTCAACTCCAGTCCAAAACCAGGCAGCACTAGGAATTTGTTTTCTGGGCTACAGTAAACAAGGGTCACTACCACTTTCACCTCAAGCCTAGTGAGGCAGAACAGAAATGTAACATCCAAACAGTTAGTGAGTGAGGACTTATGTTTGGTGGTCCTGTACCAATCCAACACCAGACCTGACCTCTGGATAGCAACAGGATGAGGTAAGCCAGCTACAGGAGTGAACTATACTATACTAATAGAACACCAATGCTACACTCTCTACTGAGTGGAATTGGTTACACTTAGGAGGTATCCTCCATGGTCCACCACCTCATTGGCTAGGAACTGGTGAGTAGCAAGAACACCCAAGCTCCACTAGAAGAAAAAGAGGATGAAAGCTCACTGGGAGCCTGAAGGAACACAACACCATAAAACAGTGTGATGGGTGACCACAAAAACCCTATTTTTTAAATGCAGACCAGTACTAGGCTTTAAACTAAGCATGTAAATGAGAAGGGATCCCCTGCCTGCTTTATTGGGTACAGTCTGGATCAGGTCTTCTTTAAGAGAATGAGCATTGCAAGGATACCTCGAGCAGTCTTGTGAAACACCCCATCTCATGGGTGAGTGCTATAACAGGCAGATTTTAGGGGCTAAGAAAATTGGGATTGAGATAGTTGAACAGAAGACCTGAATCCCAAACCTGAAGAAGAAATTCAAGAGTTTGAGCATCAAAGTATAGGAAACCAGCTTGATGATCAGCTAAGGCACATTTATCAACCAAGCAAGGAGGATGAGGCATGCTGGCACCAGAACAAACTTGGGATAAAAATTATTCAGTACGGACCTGAATATCTGGAGGAGAAAAGACGTAATAGTCAGAAGAAGAGGCCAAATGAAGAAGGGAAGGCAAAGAATCATATGACACAGGAGATACAGAAAGTATGTAACACACCTGAGAAATCATATCCAAGTGAGAAGAGGAAGGTCTAGAAAGATCAATGACAGTAGTGGTAGAATTACTGGCAAAGGTAGAAGGTGGAAAAAGGCTGTCAAAATCCTCCACATAATGAACTGGATTCACAAAAAGAAGAATATTTGTATCAGGCTCACAAGAAGGTCAAGACTGCATAGCCATCATTTCCTGGACAAACAAAAAGGAACCTGACACCATAGTAGTTGTTTGTCCAATGTGAATAACTTTTTGCCATCCCACATAAAACAAAGTGGTAGTGACAGTACTTTGAGATTTCATAATGTGGAAAGAAAAGGCCCACAAAACCTGCAGGTGCAGAATTATTTGAAAGTGAAGTGATAAAATTAAAGTTAAAAATTAAACTTTCCACAACAATGGTTTCGATGTGTAGATACAAGACAAAATGCCTATTTCATTGAAGCTCACATGCAAAAAAAAAAAAGATACATTTGAACATGCAAGTGCCAAATTGAGAAATGATGATTGAACAATTAGTACAGAGGGAGTCAGATATTCAGATGTTCATTTGCATGCAACAATACAGCTATATCATGATGAAACAGTGAGTTTAGATGGGAGCCTCAAGGCTAGTGGTATGCCAAAAATTTGCATATAGAGGGCAGCACTGAATTGGGAAAGCTATTTGTCAGAAGGGGTTATGTATCATATTAGAAACAAAATTTATGACTGTTTGAAGAAATGATGTCCAAAAATGTCATATTTTAATAACTTAACAACATGTATGTAAATGTCCTTTTTTTGTTAATAACTATTATATACCATGCTTCACAGAATGTGCCTGCACATAATAATTAAAGATGCATTTTTTTAAACAAGGATGTCACTTGCAGGATTTCTTTAGAGAAAAAAGATCAACTTTTCTCAACAAAATCATCAAATGCTCTTGTTACATTATATTTAATCTACCATGAGGTGGTTGCAAACTTGTGAAAAAACATGCAAATTTAAGGACAAATAATAAATGGAGGGTATTGGAACACGTCTTAGGTGAGCATAGCATGCATAGCCATAGCTAGAGCAAAAATTTATCTGAGGTCCAAACACTGACAAGCATATAGGGTCACCTTATATATATATATATATATATTGTATACCTTTCCCATATGGGTGTAAAAGTAAGTAGTATGTTACATTTAATTTAAAATTTTAACTAAGGCCCAAACCTCAGTGACCTCATGGTAACATGATAGTTCATTCAAGTTACTTATAATTTCAACTAAGGCTAATTATGAGCAAAACTCCTGAACAAAAAATAGAATATGGTCATACAGCAGCAGAGGCTACAGTTTCATAGAGATAGTTCAGCATATACCATATACGTCAAGTTGTTGCTCATATTATATACACATGCATGTATTATAACCACAAGGTTGATTTTTTGCAATTACAACTTTTGTACACATGACAATTTCCATGAACTATAATTATTTATTCAATGTCTTTTTTGAAATGTTAGTGATTTCAAAGTTTGAAATAACAGTAAGCAATTATTCAATGAGCAATCAAACTTGGAAAAACATTTTGATTTGTAAATTTCAATACAAAAAATATAAAAAGAATTGTGTTAAAGGAAATGACTTGTTACGATAAATTAAAAAGACTACTGGAGCATTGAAATTTTCCTGACAAGCCTAGTTTTGCATAATTTGAGGACAATGAACATGCCTGAATTTGATGACTATCTTCCCAGGAATGTTCGTTAAACTGTCTACAAACCAAGATGAAATATGATAGTATTTCTCTTATGTTGTGGAATACCATTTGGCCAGCAGATGCTATGTTTAGGGACACTTACTGTTGCTTGATACATCACAATTCTTGAACAAGGAATTCAACGTGTCAATACAAGTCATCATCTTATTAGATATGGAAGTATCTTCATGCAATATGAGGTTCTTACTCATTCAACCTAAGTCAGAAAAAGTTGGCTTGAACCTCAGGGTATTACCTCTCTCATGGCCATATTGAACAGGTGGTCTATCCATGATCATTCCATGTCAAAGTAACTAACTTCCTAGAGATATCCTCATCTAAATTCATCATCATTAAAGGGTTACAATCTCATGGGCCCAAATTTCAAGTCTTGTAAATGCTGTGTGTAACCATGTTTCTGCCTTAAATCTATCAAATAACATATCCACTGAATACTAGTGGTAATCTTGTACCCATTGATTATGTTTATTATATTTAGTAAAATGGCATTCTTTCTGGAAAGCATGTCTATTTACTTATTGGTAAACTGTGGATGATACATTAAATAGTGCTATAGCTATTAACAAAATAGATTATATGTATCTTATTTAAAAAAAAAAAGCAAATGAAACAACTTTTATCAACTGTTATCAGAAGGTCAAATATACACCTGGAAAAAAGTTAAGCACCCACGTGTTTTTTTCAAGTGATTCAGATTCGACGTTCTTGTGACTGATTATAAATTACCATTCAATTTAAACGTGTTTATCAAATGAAATTATGCAATATTGGGCACAAGAAAATAATCCATCCTTTCCGATAACACTTCCACA